AATTTGCATCTAATTTGAATGAGCCTTCCAAGTTAGTAGGTGTGTACAATTTGCATCTAATTTGAATGAGGCTTCTAAGCAAGTGTACAATTTGCATTTAATTTGGATGATGCTTCTTAAGTTAGTAAGCAAGTGTACATCAAGCATCTAATTTGAATAGGCCTACTAAGTTAGTAAGCAAGTGTGCAATTTGCATCTAATTTGAATGAGGCCTTCCAAGTTAGTAAGCAAGTGTGCAATTTGCATCTAATTTGAATGAGGCCTTCCAAGTTAGTAAGCAAGTGTACAATTTGCATCTGATTTGAATGAGGCCTTCCAAGTTAGTAAGCTTGTGTACAATTTGCATCTAATTTGAATAGGCCTACTAAGTTAGTAAGCAAGTGTGCAATTTGCATCTAATTTGAATGAGGCCTTCCAAGTTAGTAGACTTGTGTACAGTTTGCATCTAATTTGAATAAAGCCTTCTAAGGAAGTGTACAATTTCCATATAATTTGAATGAGGCCTTCTAAGTTAGTAGGCTTGTGTACAATTTGCATCTAATTTGAATAGGCCTACTAAGTTAGTAAGCAAGTGTGCAATTTGCATCTAATTTGAATGAGGCCTACTAAGTTAGTAAGCAAGTGTACAATTTGCATCTAATTTGAATGAGGCCTTCCAAGTTAGTAAGCAAGTGTACAATTTGCATCTAATTTGAATGAGGCCTTCCAAGTTAGTAGGTTGTGTACAATTTGCATCTAATTTGAATGAGGCCTTCTAAGCAAGTGTACAATTTGCATTTAATTTGGATGATGCCTTCTAAGTTAGTAAGCAAGTGTACATCAAGCATCTAATTTGAATAGGCCTACTAAGTTAGTAAGCAAGTGTGCAATTTGCATCTAATTTGAATGAGGCCTTCCAAGTTAGTAAGCAAGTGTACAATTTGCATCTGATTTGAATGAGGCCTTCCAAGTTAGTAAGCTTGTGTACAATTTGCATCTAATTTGAATGAGGCCTTTCAAGTTAGTAAGCAAGTGTACACTTTGCATCTAATTTGAATGAGGCCTTTCAAGTTAGTAAGCAAGTGTGCAATTTCCATATAATTTGAATGAGGCCTTCTAAATTAGTAAGCATGTGTACATTATGCTGACATTTGGCGGCAAGTAACCTTTAGTTTCCCAGTCTATTGTGTCCATTCATAGTCTTAACAATTTTTTTACTAGAAGAACAAATTTGTTGTTTAGGCATGGCTCAAATAAAATGTAATTTTCTTAAGTATTTCTTTTTTTTAATCTAAATCAGTACCAACAGATCATATTTCAACACCAGTAATTCATTTTATAGAGTGTTAAAAAGTGACACTGTCAATATTCTGAAATTCAAAGAGAATTGCACAAATATGATAGCATTCTGACCTGCTTGGTCGGAAGAGTCAAAACATGCAGAGAATATAGGGAAATATATGAATACGGGGAGTATGTGCATCTTGAGTTTGCCGGCAATTGAAACATTTGACAATATAATGAATGAAGATCTGTTTTCCACAGTCCCTAATAATTTTTACTTTGTAAGTTCTGATGGTATGCAAGTAACAACATTTTTTGTGAACATTTGTGTTTTTTTCATTGTAAAAGTGTTTTGTATTTTGATAATTTTTTTAGGTGCTTAAGGTAGAAGTCTACTAATAATTTTTGAGAAAGTTGGTCATAAATCGCATGACAATAGTTCATTGGTTTATTATGAAAAATCATTGAGCTACTGTCCCATGGCACTCTGAAATAGTATAGTTTTGTGTTACAACGATGTATTTTGAGAAACTTGTCCTAATATTTTTAGAACAATTCCATAGAAAACAAAGTTAAAGCAAAATTACATTTTTTGACACTTTTCAAAACCCATTTTTTTGAAATAATTAGGACAACAACAAAAAGTAATGCACAATTCAAAATATACAATTTTTTTCAGCCTACAATCTGAGATATGGCGTCATAATACTGACATAAAATGGCCAATATCCACTAAAATACAACCATTATTTTCTCGAAAATCAGGCTGTTAACAACACCTTTTTGTAAGTCACTATCCTTATACTGCCCAGGAGTACAATTTTTGGCAAAATGTATACATTCTGAAATTCTGGGTATTTGCATTTATGAGCAGGCTTCTACCTTCAAGTAACCTGGAGACTAGTTGAATGTACTGTAAACATAAACCACCTACGCTATTTGTAATGCTTTTATACCCAATCCAGTGTAGTCTTTCTCCTCAGGGCTGTCAAATTCCTTCCATTCAGTTTCCTCATTCTAATGAAATTGAAAAAACAGTTGAGATTAATTGCTTATGATTATGACATTCTGTGGAGGGTAAAACCCAATGAAATTCACACCACTACAAAATTAAAATTTGCAGCGAAAAGTGAAAAAGTTTGGAGATGCGCCATTTGTAGGTTTCATTGTTATGTGATATCTTTGAGTACTTCATCAAATCCACCATTTTGTTCATCTTAGTTCAAAGCTGAAATAGTCCTAATACATTTATCACATTGTGACTTGTCATGTAAACATTTTAATCTAAGTACGACAGAATTGTTTGAGTACTTCATCAAATCCACCATTTTGTTCATCTTAGTTCAATGTTGAAATAAGTCCTAATATATTCATCACATTGTCACTTGGCAGGTAAACATTTTAATCAAAGTACTACAGATTGGTGACAATGTATGTGAACTAAAGAAGCAGGAGTCTATAAGCTACTGAGAATTGAACAAGAAATGTGTAGTGGAAATGATCAATGATCAATTTAGTCATACCTAGGTAGCTTTATTGAATATTGAATGACATTCAGTATTATTGTTATACCCAGTCTGATTAAATTAGAATGCTAATGACACCAACAAATGCAATGTATAGACAACTTATTTTTAATGTCAACCCCCCAAATGAGATCTATGCCGATCCGGTGATTTTAGCGCCTTGCAAGGGTTTTGGAAAAGAGTCTGGGGCTTGGTCGACGTTTAGACTGTATCAGAATCAGGAAGAATTTTCAAGAAGAACTTTCCATTTAATATGTCTTCTTTATTTGTGGGTTTGCATCAGTATTTGAAATTATTATACTTTTCATCGTCCATGAGCCACCACTTTAATAGTTTACCAGAACTTATTGCATTGTATTGTATTTATTATAAAATTACGATTAATAGAATTATTAATCAAGAAACAGAGTCAAATCTTCTGTTATTATTATTAAGGTGTAGCCTAGCCTTGGAGGTAAAACCCTCAGGACATCGGCATACAATGTTTTGTGAACAGTTACCTCAACTAATTTTAAATTAACACAGTTAGATATGCAACATAAAGTTCCAGTGAAGAGCTGTGCAAGTATTTTTGAACGGTGACTGAACTATTCAAAACGGTCGCCAAAAACCATATATAAATGAGGTCAAAAGTAGAAAAATGGTGCGTAATTGTTGAGATGTGATGAGGACCCAAAGACAAATCATAATACAAAGGAACATTCTAGAAATGGCTTTTATGCTAAGAGTGAGTCATACTAAACATTTTCATGAAAGAGATTGTTACATACAATGTTCTTTTGAGGTTTTGTCTAGGATCATTGCATACTTGTAGAGTTATTGCATATTTTTGCCTTCTTGAATGAGGAAATATAGAAAATAGTTCCACAGAAAAGATTTTCCATGGTTACAAACAAGCATACACTGAGTGTAATGCGTTTGGTCAAAACAAATTTTATGTGTCTGACCCAGTCCTTGTAATACAAAATAAGAAATGGGGTGGACGGTTGATTTGTTCCACAAGTTTATCCGCCCCAAAGTCATTTTGTTCAATTTATTACGTTAGCCTGATACTCGCTCGTCCAATACGCACAACAAGATCTGAACACGGCAACCTGTATCTAATCATAGTCGTGCATTCATCGTCCATACGACAGTACCTCGAAGGCTGAACCCTGGTCATTTATTGTGTCACATTTTGCAATAAGTTATTCAGTTGTTTATTTCTGAATATCCGGAAACACAGTAAATATTGTTGTAAGGATATGTTGCGCTTTCAGATTGTATTTTATATGCATCAAGTATGATTATCTTGTTACCAATATATAGAGGAAGTTGCCCTGCAACTAGATCGTGAGTAACCAATAGCAATGGAATGAAAGTTTATTGGGACAATGTGAATTAGGACGAAAGTGAATTGGAACGAATCAACTTTTGGGACAAACGTGTTGGAACAAATGTGAATTGACTGCGAATCAAGAAATAGTGTTCACAAGGTCTATATTTATTGTCCAAGTCTCATTTTGCGCTACAAGTGACTGATCTTACCACGCACAGAATGGTTTTTTCATCAGCTTGCACACCTTTATCTCTGTATCTACCTTTGGCTGTTATTTTTTACGCACACCGACCTATATGTGGGCAGAGGTGTGTTCAAAGACTAAAACGAAGCCACAAAATGTCACTGTCGTGCATGCAAATAAATTAAGTATGTTATTTCTGATTCATGAAGTGAATATTTCAGTCTGCTCCTGTCCTATAAAGGGAAATTCTTTTGATTATAATTGGTTACAGTACCATATGTGATGTGAAAATTATCACACTTAATATTTGCATAATATATAACCCCTCTGTTCACAGGTTGCCATGCCACAATTGCGCGCATGTCACATGTGTAGCCCGGAACTGCAATACGATATCAATATGAATATTAAAGTGTTCATATTGCACCATTCCGTCTTATTACCTCCTTTTTCGTTCCAGGATCCTTCTCGTCTATTTTATTTTGATTGTCGGGCGTTGTAACCGACGAAGACGTCACAGACGAACTGGTTCTGGTTTCCTCACGGTCCTTTTTCTTCTTGCTTGGACCTTCTGTTAATTTTTTCGCAATTCCGTCAGTAGTTGTGAATTTTTGCTTACTCTTGACCTTCTTCTTTTTGTCCTTTTTGGCAAAGAAATCGTCTAGTGCTTTGTCCCCCATATTTACCGGGGCAAATTAGTCAAAATGACAACATATATAGCACAAAACACACGTTGAATCAGGAAGACTTCGCTGACGAGAACCACATTTCCGGAAGTCCAAACCACGCATGAGCAGATTTTGGAATACTTAACTCCGCGAATAAAAGTTACAGTCATTTGTTGTTTATAATGAAAATAATTAAAATTAATCATTTGCATAGTTACCAATATTTTATTGGGTGCACATATTTACTCAAACAAATTATATCATATTCCGTGTTATTTGAGAGAGGGTATTTACATTTAAAGACCACTGGCTAGGTGGTCTGGTCCATGCGGGTTCTTGGCAGTGGGTTCTTGGGATATCCTTCGATTGACTATGAATGAATGCATCGTGCAGGGTTCGTGGTAGGGGTACATGTATTTAAAGAGAGACACATTTCGTGCTGTGATCGGCACGAAGATGGACCCTCTCCTGTGGGAATGGATTGTTTTTGACCATCCATTCGTTATAGCTCCCCAATTAAGCCGCGATCGCACGATATAGTCGTGTTATTTAAAGTTAGAAATTGGAAACTCGTACACCTGATTGAGTGACACTGATAGGGACAACAGGTTTACTCGTCCGAGGTCGTGGGGTTTTGAGCTCCCATACAACTCCCTTATCAATTAAAATGGAAGAACCATTGTATGATATCAATTCAGTAAGATCTATGAAAAGATCGGAATCATGGAAAGGCGTGGAATGCATGGTCAGGTAAATATATCCTATTTATTTTATTTATTAAAGACATGTTAACTAGACAGTACCTAGACCCAATGGGTGATGATATAAAGTTTACACGATAGCTACTTAATGATATTATGAAATCACGTGATGTGCAATTGAAACTTTAATTATTAACAGAGTTTTGGGCAATCATTATCCATCTTGCTAAACCTCAATAAAATATGTATATAAAAGTCCAAAAAAAGTTCTATGACTGTGTACCTGAAATTGCCTTCAAAACAATCTAGCCAGAAAACAGACCTAATATTGTATATTCATAGTGTTTTTGCATATTATATTATAATAATTACACTTTCAGTTTGATAAACTGCAGACTTATCACAATACTCAAATATTTGAGATCATATGTTCTTGTACTATTTCACTGTGTGTGTGGGGTGGGGGTGGGGGTATACATGTATTATTTCAGTCATTCAAGAAGAATAAATGCTGCCACATACTTCCAGTGTTCCCCCTAAGTACTGAACCACTTTGCTATTTCACCTAGAAAGTCAAATTAAATATTGTTACAGCCGGTGCTAATGAAATTCATTGGGTAACTTGCATTGCAGCTTTCCTTGGAAAGTCTTTATCAATGTTTCAATAACCCCCTTCACTGCCCACAGACTGTTAAAGCAACTGCAAATACGATTTGTATAGATAATTTACAACTTCCATTGTATAGTCACAACAATGTTGCAATATATTATAGCCATAGGATGTACTTAGGCAATAATTAATTAGTCCAAAATCAAGTGGCGCCAGGGAAAGAGAGATTGTCACAAAATATAACAAATCATTATCATAATGTTAGATCATTTGATAACGTTAATAAGAATGTCCTCGCTATATTGCAATGTTTATAGAGACTTTCTTAGGAAGTTTGCTAACTCCCTGTTCAAATCATAATTGCACATGCTGTAAATGTTTTGAAAAACAAAATTTGCTCAGATGATAAATTTCACTTTTTCAAAACAGTCAGTATATCAGCTAGTTTGAGAGTTGATTTTTGTACTGTATTTCAAATATAAACACTGTGGTCTCTCTGTCATTAGTTGATGTAGTACTGTTAAATCTGTATTAGAAACCGCAGGCTTCTATTAAAATGGTACAATGCAACAGAGGGGATGCGACTTTTATTAGAGCATCTACACATATGAGAAATGATGAATTTCTGGTTCTCAATTATTCAAAAAGAATGGGTGCGAATTCTATTAGGGATGCGGCTTCTAATACAGATTTTACGGTAAACTGAGTTTTTTTTCAAAAGTAAAATCTATCATGATGTATGTGGAAAATGATTCCCTTCTATTTGTTTCCATGATTGTAATGTTTTCTGACATTAAAAAACTCAGTAGCATACACTTAAACTATAGTTTGCATGTAATTGTATACTAAGTCATTAAAATAAGACTTATTTAACCATAGACGCTGTTATTTACATACCCGCACATGCTTTTTAAAAAGCAATTACAGTATGTTTGAAATTGACGAAAAAAATCATCAAAATGGTGATTTTTGTTCAGATACCCAATCACCCACTGGAATTTGCATAATCCGTGAAATAGTAATATGTGGGAAATATTTTCCTGATGAAATACCACATTTCATTTCAGTGCTATCTGTTTTTAATGTCGTCCAAGCTAAACATAAGTTTTTTCCTGTTCCCACATGGTGTGGCTTCAGTGGAAAGTCTATTTTAGAGTATTGCCTTACATTGTTCATGCATATATTCATGTATTTTTTGTATTTTGTTTTAATGCTGAGCTTGTATAAGGTACTACTATTAAAATATCGCAATATAACAAATTTGAAAATGTGGAAGAAAATTTTGTTATCTCCTTTGGCTCGCTAGCCGGCCAGCATAAGCTAAATGTGCTTAGTAGATGGCATGGGTAGTCGGCCATCCATGAATGACTTCTCCAAAACTGAACTGTTCAACATATGTTACAGACTCATCTGTGGTAATAGATAGTAATTTGTTAAACCATTAATTAATCTACAAATAAAAGAACTTTTTTTTTTCATATAACTTCTTGCTTCGTCTAATATAGAAATTGTGTGGGCATTTAACACATTTTAAATTTTTATCTTGTTCTGTGAGCGATGTTTCACGTACTTGCAAAGTGGAATGCAACTTTGTAAAAATTTGTCAAAAAATGACATTAATGTTGAAGTAGCACTCTCAGATCATTCCTAAAGCTGGAATTGTCATGTACCTGCTTAATTTTTTGCTGCTACAAAATCAGGGATTTGATATGGTGATATCGATATGACAATGCTAATGTCAGTGATGCTACATGTCTTTTTTTTTTTTTTAGAGTAGGGGTTTTAGCCCTGAAAAAATTTCTATCAAAGAAATTTTTTTTTTCTTCATAATAAACTGACATTTTAATGATCTAAGCTTATATAAGTTACAAAGTTATTTATATAAAAAAAATATTTATTTTGATATTTTTGATATAACAATAAACCAATCATAGAATGTGCTTTTTATGATAAAAACTTCTGAGCAGTGCTTCACTATTCCCGAAAAGAAGGTAAAATTTATGAGAAAAGTTTTTTCTTTTTTATCTGACATAAATTTTTTGATGTTGTTCATTACAGATGACATGATGGAACAAAAATAATATAGTAATAATAATTTATTGACACAACACCAATATAGTACAATACAGCAGTATGGCCACTAAATACAACTATTAACTACATTTAAAATAGAATTAACATATTTGGCGAAAGGTATCATAAGATGAGTATCCAAAGCACTTAACAAATAAATGAATTTACATCCGTGATTTAGTTTTTCAAATTCTGGAAAGCTAATAATGTGAAATTTTTTTCTCTATTTGATTTAATATCTCAGTTTGAACAGTCATAACATGGTTTTTTTCATCACCCACTTCAGATGAGTCGCACAATTTGCATATTCTTTGTTTTCGATGGATATTATTGTACCACCCTTTCTCAATTGGCAAGTTATGGCTTGAAATTCCTAATTTTGTAATTGCTGATCTTATTTTATGATTCAAAATTACTTTTAGATAATTTTTAAATTTGTAATTTTCCTTTCCCGGTAGGTATGTTTTTAATTTGTTGCCAACATTTTGATTGTTGTCTGTATTGAGTTGTTTCATCCATTCATTATTATATGTATCTTTAAGTTTATATTGAATAATTCTTTTTATATTTTTAGATTATTAGATTCCCAGAGTTTGTTACATTTAAGTGTTTCTAACATGTGTTTTATAAAAGTGACATATATAGTAATAAATAATATTCCAGTCCATAGACATTTATAAAATTGTTAAAAAAGTTTCAATAAACCATTTTTAAAGGCAAACAAATACTTTAAAATACTTATTGAACAATGACTCCTTAAAAATAAAAATACAGTTGTCATCTTGAGAAATGTTGACTACATTGTAATTTACAACAGGTTTGCAAATAGATTGCTTGTATTGGCTGTATAAAATTAAAATTAAAAAGAAATGTCAGTTCTGTCGCTAAATAAGATCTTCATATTAATAGTGATTTCTCTCACAAGGGGGGGGGGGGGGAGAAAAGCTCTCTTTTTGTTTGAATGACGTACTAGCCTAGTTTTGTGTGCTTGGTACATAACCTTGAAATTGAGTTCTAGTAATTTGGATGAACAAAATCTAGGTCAATAATCCAGCCAGCATGCCCTCTAAGCCAATTTGCTTCGTCACAGTCCAGATAGAATTTTCGTTATGTAAATAATTATAAATTCCCCGGTATATGTCATTAATGTGTCAGAAAATGTAGAATCATAGGAAATTAAAGGCCACAGCATTTCAGTTTGTGCTTTCAGTAATTTTTTTCAACCCCCACATAGTCGACAAGCTGACCCATCTTGCTTACCGTATTAGTCGATTTCATTTGAACTCAAGATTCCTGAAAAAAATCAAGTCTTAATAATTTCATACTGATTTTGGCAGGTCATCTGGCTGCATAATCCAGTTTAAATTTATTGAGTGTATATGATTGAGAATTCACGGCTCCTTGACTACACAAACATTATTTGTGAGCTAACTGACATCCATTGGTATCTGCAAATGTTTCAGTTTGATGAACAGCGTCAATTAGTGCAGTCTTGTACATGAAGCCCGGCAAAGTTTTTTGTGTTTTATATGGCATCAAAATGTATACTCTGTGCCAAGAACAAGTCCAATTTAGTCTGTAACATGGCTTAAAAATAAATTGTCTGATCTTGTGATTCATTGTGTTTTTCATCGCATTTTTTTTTTCTAAGATAACATTGCTCAATTATCTGCACTAGACTAACAAGATAGTTAGACGTATGGTCTATTTATTTATATGCTAATTACAACAC